ACAAACAAAAAAAAAAAACGAGGGGAAAAAGTCAAATTTTGGGTAAAAGGAGCCCTTCTCCCCCAAAAGGGGTGTTTTTCCCCCCGAAAAAAGTGGTGGTTTTCCCCCAAAAAAAGTGGTGGTTTTCCCCCCAAAAAAGTGGTGGTTTTCCCCCCAAAAAAGGGGCCATTTGCCCCAAAAAGGGGCCATTTTCCCCCAAAAAAGGGGTCATTTCGCCCAAAAAAGGGGTGCTTTTTCCCCAAAAAAGGAGTGCTTTTTCCCCAAAAAGGGGCCGTTTCCCCCCAAAAAGGGGTGTTTTTTCCCCAAAAAAGGGGTCGTTTCCCCCCAAAAAAGGGTCCTTTTTCCACCAAAAAAGGGATCATTTCTCTCCAAAAAAGGCTGGTTTCCCCCCAAAACAGGGGTCATTTCGGCCAAAAAAGGGGTGCTTTTTCCCCAAAAAAGGAGTGCTTTTTCCCCAAAAAGGGGCCGTTTCCCCCCAAAAAGGGGTGTTTTTTCCCCAAAAAAGGGGTCGTTTCCCCCCAAAAAAGGGTCCTTTTTCCACCAAAAAAGGGATCATTTCTCTCCAAAAAAGGCTGGTTTCCCCCCAAAACAGGGGTCATTTCGGCCAAAAAAGGGGTGCTTTTTCCCCAAAAAAGGAGTGCTTTTTCCCCAAAAAGGGGCCATTTCCCCCCAAAAAGGGGTGTTTTTTCCCCAAAAAAGGCTGGTTTCCCCCCAAAAAAGGGGTGTTTTTCCCCCAAAAGAGGGGCTGTTTCTCCCAAAAAAGGGTTGTACCCCCCCAAAAAAAGGTGGTTTCTCCCAATTAAAGGGTGTTTTTCCCCCAAAAAGGGGCCATTTCCCCCCAAAAGGGGAGCTTTTTCCCCAAAAAAGGGGTCATTTCCCCCCAAAAAGGGGTGGTTTCCCCCCAAAAAGGGGTGTTTTCCTCCAAAAAAGCGGTCATTTCCCCCCAAAATAGTCCTTTTTCCACCAAAAAAGAGATGTTTTTCCCCCAAAAAACGGGTGCCTTTCCTCTCAAAAAGTGGTTGTTTTCCCCCGAAAAAGGCTGGTCTCCCCCCCAAAAGGGATGTTTTTCCCCAAAAAAAGGCTGGATTTTTCCCCA